TGGACCAGTGTAGGATTTATCATCAGGTTTTACGGCAAGTTGGGCATTTATTGGTGGAGTTTTGATGAAAACGTCTATAACATATCAAAAGCTTGGAACGTCACCTGTCTTATTACGAAGCACACAAAAGTGAAAAAATGAAAAATATAAACTCAAAATTAAATTTTGTTTTAATATATGTTTATGCAATGCATTCTCTATGGCACATTCTGTGATGTTTATTTGACTGGGGAACACTGGTCAGGGCGGAAGTCGGCCATCTTGTCCCCTCATTTCTGGTGATGGAACCACCACAATGCATGCAAAATTTAAGGTCCCCACCAAAGACTGAATTTCCTTGAGCATCACCTTTTTTCTTTACTAAGAAAGTATCAATCCAGCTGTGGCAATGCTGTGGCAGTCGGCACTCGCCTTGAACTGTGTCTAACTCAATACATGCAAACACCATGGAAGTGTTGGATCCCATAGTCTTTTCCTGTGCAATTGGAACCCCAAGCTCAGCACACAAATCCAAAAAAGCCTGCAAATCCGAAAAACAGCGCTCCCTAGTTCGTGCCAGAAATAAGAAATCATCCAAAATGTGGATAGTTGCCTCAACATCCACAACTTTAAGCAAAATCCACTCTAAGCTGAACTAAAATGTTTAAAAATGCGGCATGATGTTGAGAACCCCATTGGAAGACATCTATCGAAACAGAAATGATCATCCCACCTGAAACCCAACAAACAATGGTCATGTGGAGCTACTGTAATAATTCTAAATGCTGATTTGATGTGAGTGTTAGCCAAGAAACAGCCTAGACCCAGATCCCTAATAATCTTAACTGCATCATCAATATTGGCATACTGAACAGTTGCCAACTCGGCTGGAATACCATCATTTATTGATGAGCCTGATGGACAAGATAAGTGGTGGATTAAGCGAAACTTGTTAGGTTGTTTTGGGGGCACCAGTCCTAAAGGAGAAATACGCAAATTGTTAAATGGTGGAGCTTGAAAGGGACCAGCAACCCTGCCTGCCTGCACCTCAGTTTGAAGCATATCCCAAACAATGTCTGGATTATTCAATGCAGATTTCAAATTAAGGGATGACCCTCCAACTCTCGGTCCTACATATTTTAAAGAAAACTATCCAACAAATACAGCGCCTTCCCCACTCAAAACCCGTCAGTAATCTACTCAGAATGGGCACTTTTGCTGGGGTTACCACTAAAAACAGCAGTTGGGGGTTTGGAGCCAACAGGACCCCAGGGAGTATAGTAGGGGCTCCCCCATTGATTTGACTAGTGGAACTGCGGGAACCACATTTGAAAATTGGATGAGTTGCCCCACACTTGAAGCACTTGTAGTCGAAACGGCACCCAAGGCAGAACTTTCCCCCATGAAAACGCCAACAGAACCCTTTCGGAAAGGACTGAAATGAATTTAGCAAACTCTGATTTGTTAGAAGTTGAAAAGCTTCGACCAGCATTGACATTTTCCCCCAAATGTAATGCTTGTAACCACAATTCCCAGTGTGTCTGGTCCCAGGGTAGTGGGGTTGACTGCTTCAGAAAGCGAAATTGCTCATCATAAAACATCCAGCCAGCCTTTTTGGCTGCCAGGTCACGCACCACCTCTCCATATTTCATAAGACCTGAAATATCCTCATGCTTCTTTAGAGTATACACTGCTACAAAGATATTAAATGCAGAAATCCACTGCTCAATTAACGTAATTTTCTTAGTACTAGCAGCGGGCTCAAGACAAAGCTGAGGCCTACCCACACCATCAGATAATGCAACGGTGTACTTACCATCCCGCAGGAAGGGATTACTAAGCAGAGTAGCGAAATCAATATAATCACCTGCCCAGATTTTAGATTTAACCTTATATGACACCCTTGCTAGCAAAGGTACAGACTGGCTAGTGAACAGAGAGTGGTTTGCTGCAGCTCTCTCTCTCTCTGAACCCTGAATTTTAGGTTGCTGTGTAACCTGAATTACAGACAAATCACTAATCTGACCCAGTGGCTGTCTAGCAGCCTGAATCCCCTGTCCCCATTATCCGTAATGTCATTGACAACTGGTTGTACGACTTGAGATGCAGTAGCTGCTGCTGGGCTTGCAACATTGCAAAGACCAGCATCCTTCAAACCTTGAACGACTGCACGTGAGATCCAAGTGTTGCGCTGCAGCATTATTACGTGTTGTGACGCGGGAAAACCTTACACACGATAATGACCTTGACGTGCATGCGATCATGCAAATGACGCACCAAGTTAATTAAATGTGACCCTACATTGGATGCAGAAAGTGATGCTAAATCATTTGTACCCAACTGTAAAATAACCACGTCTGGGTTGAAATCCTGAACGACATGTAAATCAAAACGCTGTATCTTTTCCACCGTACGCCCTCCGACACCATGTAGTTTTATTTCTGCCGAATTACTCAAATTGAACGAAAGCGGCAAAGCGTGTGACATACTCAATCGCGCCACAACAGAATGACCCAAAATTAAAACTTTAGGCTTCATGATGACTTAAACAAACGTGTGAAAGAATGCCTGAAACCTCAACGGGGGAACGATAACCCCAGGTAAACCAGAACTTGCCTTAACAATGTCGAAAATACGACTAAAATTGCAGGAGAAACAAACTGCAAGCCAGCAAGTCGACGGTGTAGTTCAAAAAAGGTGTATCTAAGGCACAATTAAACAAGAATGCGCCAGTCATAGAGGGCGCTCTCCAACTGGTATTAAAATACAATTGCATGTATATAAATCTGATTATCTGTCTATAATCTATGCTTTACAGTATTTCTGCTCTTATAGTTTGAGAATATAACTGACTGCATATTAGGAGCTGATGAACTCTCCATCTGTATTTCAGTTGCATCAACTATGACTCTGGTAGAGTACTTTCTTTTTAAATATACAGGCATAGTTTCTTTGACAAGTTCAATTTCTTTTAACTCAAAAAACATTATGTTCATCCAAGAGTCAAATATCCTTGAAATGTCAGGCTGGCTGGCTCATTTCAAATCTCTCAGCCAAATCAGTTTCAAACAAACCAAGTCTTAGTCAACACATCACCATACAAACTGATTCATGGGTGTGAGTTTTTGCTTGGTTACCGAGGTAATATGTTAAACAGATTTATGAATGCCAAACCTATCAATTTCACTTTTAAGACGATAATAGTTTGCAGTTGAGTGATTTCTTGGCTTCCGTAGATCATTCTCATACTTGTTAGTCTATGTTTCTGTGTCGATGGTATTAATTTCATTGATAGCTTGTGGAACTTCAACTGCTTGTGGCTTTGTTACATATTTTCTCCTTTTTAGTGGTTTTACATCACACCAGTATGCTTTCTTACCATCTATAAACTGTACACTACAAATCCTGATGTTTTCTGCTTCTACTTTCAAATTATCATTCCTTATAGTAATAACAAACCTTTTCCACACTTCTATATTTCTTGGGATCCAAAAAAACTGAAAAATTCTGTTTTTAGTTGTTATAGTATAAAGATGCGCAGCAGTGTTTCATGATGAGTATAGTATCTCTGTAGCATTTTAAAAACAAAATGGCGGATCTATCCACCCGGAAGTAAAATTGGGAATTTTTGTTACAGCGCCCTCTCAAGGTTTTAAATATGGGCAATTATAATTTTATTTGTGACGACATTTCCGTGTATGTAACTGAATCTTGATTGGCCTAGGTGGTCTAAAAGCCAGTAACCTTTCTCTCTCATTTAAAATAGTGTCCTAATATTTATTTATTTGTTCCAAAGCCTTATAGAACAGGTTTGACTTGCGTTCTCCTAATGTTTTTTACCAGTTATGAGGATTTTGCTTGTATTGTTCTATAAAAGTCATTGTAAGAGCCCGAGTATTTTAGTCAGTTATCCATATTTTCTCTCGAGAGACCTAGAGTTGAGTGCATGAACAATTGAAATCAGACGGGCTGCCAGCTATAGACGTCCCTGCAGGATACCACCTATGGCAGGGTAAAAGTCCCATACGTCGCACAATAGACGTATACAATGCACTGGAGTTGTATACATAATAGAATCTAGGTGTAACTAAGCCATAATGTGTGCTTTGATGTATTTTCACTATTAACTTGGGGTCTAACTAAATTATTGTGACTTCGACTTCTTCCGACCAATACACTGAGATTGGGACTGGATACTTGACTGAGGTATGTACATTGGTGCCTGAAACCACAGACACATTAGGATAAAGACGGACATAATACCCAGATTGGGAGTGTCTGTACCCATATCAGATGATATGTCCTATGGTGTTGCAGGCATACACTGTGTGCTGGCACTTTGTCCTATCAGATCTCAATTCCAGTGGTTCACTCGTAGAATAAATGTCTGTGATACACTGTGTGCTGGTACTTCCAGTAATTAAATTTAATATATCCATAGCTGCTGATAAATTGATAATCGATAAATAAAGAAAAGCCCCTGTCAGGAAAGATAAGCACAAGTTTATTTTTACTTCACTAATTTATTTATGTTTAATGTTGTTGATAAAAAGTAAAAAGCAGTAATTTCAAAACCACAATTAAAATAGAAAATTTCGAGTAAATATACAAGTATAACATATAACACCAAAATGTAAAATCCACGGAAACTTACATAGTATAAAAGCCATGTAGTGCATATCATGATTCTGAACATCGAATCTAGAATCACAACAGCTTTGATATTACTGTTAGGAATGCAACCAAATTTCGTGAATACAAGCTAGACGTGATACTTTGCATATGTTGATTTGTAGAACATAACAGAAGAAATTACTCACCGGACATCCTAGCTTGGCTTGACTTTGAAGCAGCCATTGTAATAGTGTTTTTGTTTTTAATCTTGACGCTCCGTTTATTATTGTCGACAATGAGTGTGTAGTAAATACATATTGGGACTGCTACATCGTAATTAAAGAGGTATGTCGTAATTGAGGCACACTAGTATTAAACGCGAAACGCGACACATACAGTGTGCGAGGCCACCTATTTTTCTGCCGGGCCAGGAACTTTATTAAAAAGCTGTTCCGAGTGTCCTGGTATTATTATTGCTATTAAAAAGGACAAAATACATCATTCCGGCGGTAGAAAAAAAAGACGCATTTTCCCGCGAATTGCGCGATTGGTGGCGCCATTTCATATGCTACAATGTCTGATAACGCAGGGTTCGAGATCTTGTGTAGCATGACGTCACTAAAAAATGGCAGCGGTAGAGTCGTTCGCAAACAAGTTTAGATATTTAAAATATCGAGTCGCCTGCGGCAAAAAAGAAATAAGCCAGAGAAGAAATATTTGCAGCAAATAAAGTGTGTGATGCTGAGAAACGTGAACGGAAATTTCAAGAATCCTTGGTCCCCTAGCTGCCAACAAACCGAGAAAACATGCAACTGTTCCCGATAGATACAATTAAAACAGTTTTCTTTCGTATTTTCGTGTTTTCATTTATAGCTTATAAGTTAAGTACGGTAACTGTCAAAGTGACATAACATTATAAAGTGATTTCCAAATTTGCATTGCAAGGAATGATCATTATGTTTGTAATATGTTATCACCGAAGACACACACCAAATGAAACATCAACAATAAAAATAAAGGTATACATAATATTTTGGGCCAGTGCATTTCACTCTGGGCCAGTGATTTTTTTTAAAATTACTGGCCCGCTTGGCTAGTACAAATTTTGAGCGAGTTTCACACACTGGACACATACAATATCATTCAGTGTCATACAGCATGACCATGACAGCCGAATATTTTAATGTCTACCCGACATTTGCCAATTTCTACATTCCTCTGTGAACGAATAAGCGTGTCAAAAACAAACGCTACCTATATTTGTGAAAAACGTGATTTTGTGGCTATTATGCTTTATTTTTAGTGGGGTTCATGCTTTTAAACTTGCGATCTGCGCGTGCGCGAATCGTCAGTATAAGGCGTCAGTTATGTTAATCCAATTGACTGAAGCGAATATAATTGCTAATTGATGCAAAACCTATTAAATGAAAAATTTAACACTTTATTTC